CAACCTGCCTGAATACTCCAATACCCCCAATCACGTAAGACTGGATACCAGGCTAGCTCCCACAGTCGCTACCACCAACCATGTACTGTGTATATGGTAGGAGCGGACGTAAACTAACCAGGATTTGGCTATATTACTGACTTGGATTATCTTTCAGATGATATTCTGGTACATTTACTTTTAAGAGGTTCTTCTTTTCTGTCAACAATGTACAATACTCATATGCTACTACATGTACAGACATTTTTGTTACAATCAAATCGTTTTTTTTGTAATATCTTGATCAATCCTGTCAGCATTTATACATTTGTTTCACTTGTTCATTGTATTGTATTCAACTTCTATATGATAACTTGAGCTTTGCTTGCTTGTATTACGTATTGTCTGGTGGCGACATGAATATAAGTGTAACTTGAGTGTGTCGCCCCACGTCTTGTCACTGTATGTTTCAATAAAAAAAATCGCATATTGAACAATTCCTCCAAATGATGTGTATCGTATTTTTAGGGTGGTTAGTCTGTCCTCTAGTCTTATTTTTTTACTTTGTGTATTATTGTGTTAGTATTTCATATATGTATGTAATTGTCAGTTTTAATGTTGAACTTGAAACTGTTATTTTTAGGTATTTAATGTATAATGATATGGATTTTATTGAATAACTTAGCAATTTTAATGTACGTGTTATGCCAGATTAGTCAAGAAATCAAATTGTACAGCAAGATACAATTTAGCCAATGGCTACAAGGTCTTGTTTTGTTTTCACAAATAAACCAGTTGATTGATTGATTGATCGATTTATTGATTGATTGATTGAAAAAAATAACCAGGATGGTACCCAGTCTAGTTGGGCCAATAACACCGATTATATTTATTTTCTCCACCGATTATCATAGACATGACTCCTGCTCTGTTGGTATCGAGACTAGAAGAGGAACAGAAGGGCTTCCCTCTCCGTCCTCACTCTCTTCATCAGGGGGGTCGTTGGTCAAAGATGGCGGTTGTTTCAGCAGAGGTGACGCGTCGTCTGCACGGCTGTCCTGCGTCTCCTTTTCACCAGGGGGCGTGGCGTCTGACACGGGAGGGTTTTCGTGCTCCGTTGAAAGGTCGTCTGCCGCCTGTTCGTCCGTTGAATGGCCGTTTATCGTTCCCAACATTGCTTCTTTCTCTCTCTCAGCGAGTTCTTCAGAAATGGCGGGCTCATCGTCTTTCGTAGCGGCGACCTTGATTTTTGATTTTGATTTTATTAGTTTGCACATTAAACAAAACAGACAGTAATAATACAAAACAAGGATAAAAACAGGTGCAGAAAGAGGGGAGAAGCATGGAAAGCTTATACAAGGCCCTCCTCCTCTAAACTATACAAAATTAAAGATAACAAATAAATGGAAATAATACATTAGAAAATGGAAATAATACAATAAGGATAATCAAATAATATACGGTATAAATTAATGACAGTGAAATAAGGTAATGTAAGTTATAAATACAGTGCAATAATGATAATAATTAGTATGAGTTAGATAGTAAAATTAGAGAAAACACTAAATGAAACTACTACAGGGGGCTAGGTTCGTTTATCAGATGGTTTTTCAGAGCTTGTTTGAATGAGAGAAAAGAAAGACAAGGTAGGACTCTTTAGGGCTGGGGTTAGTTCATTCCATAAGGTGACATCTTTGTACCTAACCGACATTTGGGCAAGAGAAGTTTTTACTAGGGGGATATGAAAATCGGAACGTTGGTGAGTTTGACCTTGTCGGTGGAGTCGCCCCTCGCTGCAGACAGCGGCCGCTGGGCGGTCCTGGAGTCCTCCTCCGGCTCTTCTTCGATGATGGCGTCAAGGACAATGTCCGAGTCAGGACCAGCGTGTTTCTCATGGATCTGCAGCTGATGTACTCGTCTGCCGGATGTGCTGGGCTGAGTACGCCCTTGTCCTGCAGGGGCCACAAGGTTGTCTCCTTCCCGCTCTACGCTGAAAACACCATCTGGAACCTTTAAGATTCCTGGTCCGCCTCTTTCCTTCCTTAGTTGGTCCGAGAGTAAGGTATCTGTAAATCGAGTTTAAGAAACAGTGCAATAAATATCACTAGCTTATACTCTCTAAAAATTCTAGTTGTCTAGCTGAACTTGTATCCAAACAGGACCTTTTAAGCTTGTTTGGTTTGGTTTTCCTTTTTAATGCCCACAATCATGAAAATGATCATTTTGGCATATACTCATTTTCACCCGAGTGAAGTAAGGAAAGATCGTGTAAAGTGCCTTTCCCAATTGCACAAGGTTGGTGCTTGGTAGGATTCGAACCCGGGACCTCTAGGTTCCGAGCCGTTACGGCACACAACCCCACAATGCTTGTTGCAAGCATTTTCATCATATGCTGATTTAGCTCAATCTGGCTGATTTGATAAAATGACACATGACTGAATATGATAAAAATCCACTCCCACACAGCTATAATATTCGTTTTGCTATTCGTTATTTTTTTTATACAAAAACATCAATTCACTGACAATTGTACATATAATGTAGTTTTCACTCCCCATGCCTTTTGCTTCTGTAATTATGTTTATTATGTTTACCTAAGGAAAACATATTGTTTTGTTCAGTTTATTCTTCTCCAAATAGTGACCTCTGACCTGACCAATGACATGATTTGTTGACCATGGTGACAGGTGTTGGGTTACATAATGTTGCAATTTCATGGTCTGCTCTGCTCCTGTCACCATGTACTAGTATGTGAATGTGTTTTGAGTAAGAATTAACAGAGCAGACCATGTCCGAAGGTAAACATTATGCATTTGCTTTGCAAATTACTTCTCTAGTCTTACCAGATGATTCGCCTTCGGTTGTCTGATTCTGCTTGAGTTCTTGGACCTCGGTCTGGGCTCGAGCGTAGCCAATCGTCTGCCGGATCGAGAGGTCAAGGTTCACGGTGTAAGGAAGGAGGTCTGCCATATCCTGAGAAAAAAAATCATCTTTCTTTAGTCCTGCTGTTTTTTTATTTTAGTCAGACGAATGTTTCTTACTTCCGTAAAAAGAAGGACCTTACAAGACTATGGTACAACATGCATAAGCATAAAAGTGGCTGTATTATAGACATTTATTACGATGGAACAAAAATTAAATTGCACGATTCTTATTAGTGGGAAGTATAAGCGATTAGCCGAAAGGCTCGGTGGGCGTCACTCCATCGTACAAGAACGAAAGTCGTGCAACGTGCCTTTCCGGATGTCTCAACGTACATCGGTCATGTCAGGGGATCGAACCCGGGATCACTTGGTTTCGACCCGAACGCTATGACCATTACAGCACGCGATGCCACAATTGAACCAGGCCGATAGGTCAAAATTGAGAACAAGTTGTTCGACTTACCTCAACTGTGAAGCCGGCAAAGGTCAAGAAGAGCTCGAACATTTCGGGGTCTTCGTCCAGCGGGTTGAGATGACTCCACTCCTGCTGCGTGCAGATCTCACCCTTCACCCTCCGCACGAACACGTCCACCAGCTTGTCGCTCGGCTGGATCCCCCGCTGGAGGGTCTCGTGTCTTCCCAGCTCCCTCCTCTGGAAGAAGTCGTCGACGTACTGGATGATCCAGCTCATCCTGTAGGGCCATTGCTCAACTAGCAGCACCCACCTTGCGACCTGGCGACAAAGTACAAGAACAAGAAATGGTCATGTCTTCAAGTAGCGGAGTTATCAACCAAGGATTGACGCCTTCAAAAACTTGTATTTTTCTACAACCATCGAAGCTCGTTGCCACCAAGTACAGTCGGAACATAGTTTCTAGATATCTGTAGACAACGCTTGCAGGGGTTAGGTGTAACAGGTCGAACTTTTGGTCCAACACAAAAAAATTCTCTCACCTAGAGCTTCCGACCCGTCACTCTGGTCTTCCTCAGTAGACTGACCCAGTGAAGCTTGTCACGTGGCTTCTTTGAAGTGTGACGTCAACACTGGGTCAAAGGTATCTGGTAGGGGGTATATGAGAGGGGTGAAGGAGGATATTTGCATCATCGCCCATCACCATTCACTTGACCGCGACGGGGGCCGACATCGTCTATAACGCTGGCTTCAACACTGAAGTGTGACGTCAACACTGGGTCAAAGGTATCTGGTATCTCTCATATACCCCCTACCAGATACCTTTGACCCAGTGTTGACGTCACACTTCAAAGAAGCCACGTGACAAGCCTCACTTGGTCAGTCTACTGAGGAAGACCAGAGTGACTGGTCGAAAGCTCTAGTTGAGAGAATGTTTTGTGTTGGACCAAAAGTTTTAACTTTAAACACGTTCCCCATACCTGTGTGGGAGTGAACCTTGTGAGCCTGTCCCGCTGGGACAGAACTCCTACCGACACGCACAGGATGTTGAAGAGGCGCCGG